CAGCAAAATAAGAGTAAACTGAAAGCTGTGGCCGGGGGCTGGGGCTCATACCTGTAATTCCAGCACTTTGGGAGGCCCACACGGGTGGATCACCTGAGGTCCGGAGTTCGAGATCAGCCTGACCAACATGGAGAAACCCTGTCTCTATTAAAAATACAGAATTAGCCAAGCGTGGTAGCACACGCTTGTGATCCCAGCTACTCCGGAGGCTGAGGCAGGAGAATTGCCTGTGAGGTGGAGGTTGCGGTGAGCCCAGAGAATTGCTTGAACCTGGGAGGCTAGGCGGAGGTTGCGGTGAGCCGAGATCACGTCATTGCACTCCAGCCTGGGCAATAAGAGCAAAACTGTCTCAAAAAAAAAAAAAAAGTTGTGTGTTTGGGCATTGAAAGATATTATTGATGGGCATTTGATAGATATGTTGAAGCATTTTTTTTTTTTGAGACTGAGTTTTGCTTTGTCACCCAGGCTAGAGTACAGTGGCGCAATCTTGGCTCACTGCAACCTCAGCCTCGCATTCAAGCGATTCTCCTGCCTCAGCCTCCTGAGTAGCTGGGATTACAGGCACATGCTACCATGCCTGGCTAATTTTTGTATTTTTAGTAGAGATGGGGTTTCACCATGTTGGTCAGCCTGGTCTCAAACTCCTGACCTCGTGATCCGCCCACCTCGGCTTCCCAAAGTGCTGGGATTACAGGCATGAGCCATTTTACCCAGCTGTGAAGCATTTGTATCTAAAATTCAGGTTAGATACTTATGTATGTATGTATGTATGTATGTATGTATGTATAGATGTAGTCTTACTAGGTTGCCCAGGCTGGTCTTAAACTCCTGACCTCAAGCAATCCTCCTGCCTTGGCCTCCCAAAGTGTTGGGAATACAGTTATAAGCCACTGCATCCAACCTTAGCTACATTTTCAAAAAGCAAAAAAGCAGGCAATTATTAACTCCAGGAAGAACAGGAGATTTTTAAAAAAGTGTTATTATGGCATATTATTTGATTCAGTAATGCATTATATTTACATTGGCAGGATGATATAAACCCTAATTTTTTTTTTTTTTTTGAGATGGAGTCTTGCTCTGTCTCCCAGGCTGGAGTGCAGTGGTGTGATCTCGGCCCACTGCAATCTCCTCCTCCTGGATTCAAGCAATTCTCCTGCCTCAGCCTCCCGTGTAGCTGGGATTACAGGTGTGTGCCACTACACCTGGCTAATTTTTGTATTTTTAGTAGAGACCGGGTTTCACCATGTTGGCCAGCCTGGTCTGAAACTCCTGACTTCAGGAGATGTGCCCACCTCAGCCTCCCAAAGTGCTGGGATTATAGGCGTGAGCCACTGCACCTGCCCCCTAGTTGTTGATTTGAGTAAACATTGTAATATGCTTATGTTGGAAGGAAGCATGACGGCAAAGTCGTCGTGGTGGTGGGTAAAAGACCTAAATCCTCAAATACCGTAAGTTGTCAATAAATAACGTGTAAAACTGAAAATCAAGAAATATTGTTATAAGGTTACCATTTAGGAGATGAAGAACCTGGTAGGATTGTGTGGAATGTAGGGTGAAGACAGGTGGGGAGAAGCAGGGCAGGGGGCTGATGGTACTCATTGATGTTTTTTGTTATAAGCCTTTAAGAATCATTTGATTTTTCACTTTTGTATATTACTTTCACTAAAAATAAAAATGCAAACAAAAACAATATACATACATTATAGAAAAGATATCACAGATAATAAAATATGCAAAAAGTGCATACAAAAATTAACCAAGCATAGTGGTGTTTATGTATTTTTTCCCATTTCAAGTGTAGATAAATGCTTATATTTCTCTGATATATCTGCTTGAACTGTTTCAGTGAATAAAAATATGAAAAGTGCAATTCAGTCTTTATCCCATTTAAAATGCAGAAAAACTTCGTATGGTAAATACACAATTTTGAGAATGTATCCTTGGAAAGGGAATACTGGTGAAACAATTAATAATAAAGATTTAAATGTTAATAATGAACTGGATTTTTTTTTCCTTTTTTTATTTTTTAAAAGAGATGGGGTTTCACCCTGTTGGCCAGGCTGGTCTTGAACTCCTGACCTCAGGTGATCCACCCACCTCGGCCTCCCAAAGTGCTGGGATTACAGGCATGAGCCACCTTGCCTGGCCTGAACTGGATATTTTTACAGAGATTAAGCTACCCTAAAATTTTCAGGAAAAATATACATTTAATGTATATTTTTGCCTCCTAAGGTCACTCAGTTTTAATTAGTGTAAAAGTTTCAACATTCAATTACTATTTACTGAATTCCTCTCGTAACGCAAGCCTTGTCCTTGATATATTCACTTACAGGTTCTGTATAATCTCAAAAACAATCTTACAGATTTCCTGATGCATTTGTAGAGGCCTAACATGAAGAAATATACTGGGAAATAGAGTATAGTGGATTTCTGTGGGTTTACTTGGCCTTGGTTACTGCTCTTGATGTTAGAGAATTATGCATATCAAAGATAATGATGGTGCATTTATCAGGAAAGAACAGAGCTATTATCGGCCACCAGAGACAAGCATGGGAGAGTTTCTATAGGAGGTAGTGTTGATGCAGTCTTTAGATGACACTGTGAAATCTGTAGTTTCTGGGTTGACTCCATAGATGTTCCCATATACCCATCCTGCCCACGGAGAGTTATGAAATAGCTATGTGAGTGCACAACGTAGCTATTGGGCAAACCAAAGTTGTCAGGTACTGCACATATCGTGAAGGAATTATGATGGGACAGGGTGTGGTCAAAGGGCACTGGTGCCCAGTAAGTCCTGAGAGTTTTGAGGAGGAAAAGGGGAACATGCACTTGGGGACGTACAGGATCTTTCTCTCTGCTTGACTACAGGGCATTTTCTGTCCCTCCCTGTTCCGTGGTATAGATTTTGTCTTTTCCATGTCAGTCCAGGTCTTCAGAGTCACTATGAATTATTATTCCCATTTTATAGATGAAGAAATTGAGCCTCAGTGAGGTTGTTAGTGAAAGGCACACGACTTTAATAAACTGACAGAATTCCAGGTTCTGATTTAAATTCTATTGCTCTCCTTTGAAAATACAGGGACAGCTTATATGCGCTTGTGTGTATTTTCTGGTCTAAATCTGCAGCACATATGTGTGTCTTTCTGTGCATGTATATAGTAGGTCAAATATGTTAGCTCTATGGATATTTCTTACATTTAAATATCCTGTCATCAATGATAGTGTTTACAAATTATTTATTTAGAACTTCTTTTCAAGAAAAGCCTTTGTGATTGCTTTCTGCGAATTATAATAGACTGAATGTACCTCTTCATTATTTTGTTTCAAACAATTATATCTAGTTAATGCAGAAGCTTTTGAGGCTGTATATAACAGGTCAGAAGATCTATTTAATGTCAAACTTTATCTATTAGGCAACTTGGAATTCTCAGCCAGCACCAAATATTCAAATCCAATTTCCACACCCCAACAGCAGAGGGGTTCCGGGTGTAGGTGGAGTGCTGGTGCACCCATAAGGGTGTTTTTCAGGAATTCCGGAGGTGGTGCTCCAGAGAACACGCTTCTTCCACACACGCCCCCTACCCAGTTTTGGTAAGCACCTGCAGCCCCAAACAAGAACTGGCGGGACTCGAGTGTGGCCGTGTCAGACGTGGCAAGAAAAACCAGCAGTTGCCTTTTCATCTCTTTTCTGATGATCTAACCATGAAGTACACTTACGCAGTATTTGAGCATTTAAGGCAGAATGTAAATTCATAATCTAAGAAGATTTTTGGTTACGTGGCTAGCCCAGGTACTGACCGCTGCGGGGGCGGGCTCGCACAGTTTCCCCACTGGTAAGTTTTGTGACTTGCTTTGGCAAACCCGGGAACTGCACCCTATGCCCTTGGCAAGGATCTCTCCACTGCGACTTCGGGTGTTAGCGTTTTCGGGCTCTTTCCGGGACCCAAGTCCCAGCACACGAAGGTCGGCCCGGCGGCCGGCCTCGGGGCCCCGCCCACTTTGGCCAGGGTCTGAGCCGCCCGGAGTGGGAGCCGGAGCCCGAGCGGCAGCGGCCCCTTTAAGGAGCCGCTCTGCGGTAACCCGAGCCCGCAGTCCAGGCGGGCGCGGCGGCCGCGGCGGTAGCTGGAGCCTCGGCGACTGCACCTCCAAGCGGCCCGGAGCTCGCGGCTTCCCTGGCTCCCGCCAGCATCTCGCCGGGCGGCACTGGCCGGCGCCAGCCCTCGGGCCGGGCCGGATGACCAGACGCCTGTAGCCACCCGCCGCCTCTCCCGGCTCCGCGCAGCCGCCGCCCGCGCGCCACTCGCCCCGGGACTCGGCACAGGTGACGCCGTTTGGAGGGGGGCTGGGGAGGAGGGCGGGCTCGCGTCGCTCCGCGGCTCCCCCGCGCCGGCCGCCCAGCGCAGCCCGCAGAGCGGGGCGCCGCGGCTTCCCGCCCCTGGCCTAGCGCGGCCGAGGGCTCCTGCGCTGGGAGGCTGGGTGGGCGTCCGGCGCGCGGGAGGCGGCCCGGGGCTGCGGGGCGGGCTCCGGCAGGTGTGTGCGGCAGGCGCAGCATCGTCCCCGCCCGGCGGGCCACGGCGTCGCTCCGGGAGCAGATGGTGTCCCGGGGCCCCCAGCCCCCGCGCCGCCTGGGCGCCCTGCGTTCCTCTAGCGTTTCTCGGGCTGCACAGTTCGGGCTGCCCTGTCTGCCTGGCGGTGCCTCCCGGGTCTGAGCTTAAAGCGGGTGGGGGCAAACCTTTGGGCATGCAGGGAGAGCTTTCTTGTTAGAGCCCACACACAATTAGGCGCATCAAGTGGGTAAGTCCGCCTCCCCCGCCGCCACCTTCTGAAACAAGTAGCTCCTGTTTACCCTTGCAGTTCTCAAGTGGGTCCCATTTTTAGCCACCGAGCACTGCAAAGTCTAGTAGGAAGGGACCAGGTGGAGAGTCAGAGGGAGGGATTCGTTTCTATTTCCAGCTCCACCACTGTAACCCCTGGTAAGTTTATTAAACTAAGTGCCTCGGTTTACCCAGCCATGAAATGGGATTCGTAATGCCAGCATTTTCCTACCCCTCCAAGACGGCAGGATAACCTCTGTGACAACACTTTGAGTCTAAGTTCATTTACGAGATATTGTTGCTGGTCTGTATATTTTTAATTGTAAACACACTTGAGTGTTAATGTGGTGCACACCTTTATGTGAAATTATGAAATTGACCTTAAACACTAATCTTGGATAATGTTTAATCCAAATGCCAGTTTGGAGAAGATGGAAGAGATGGTGTGGATGTTAGGAATTGACGTGTGAAATAGGAAAAAAACTGTCATTTTAGTAAAATCTTTATGCAGTCACCAATGGAGAGTTGAGAAAAAATGGACCTTGGATTGTGATGTTTTTGAGATACTCCCTTGAGAGCACATGATGTGGATTCCAGTGTAACTTCATCTTTGTATAGCCGATTAAGGTAATAAGTTAGAGAATCCCAGATCCCTTTTAAGTGTGCTATATATGAGGAATTTTTATCCTTGCTTATCTTTTCCTTAAATTGTATGGGTGAAACTAAATTAGAAAAGTGTATTCCTGCCGTGTTAGAAAATTTGAAAGAATGGCTGAGGAACCATGGATTTTAGTTTATTTGCCACGCCCCTCCTGTGCCATCTGGTGACCCAGAGAATAATTATTTTAGGGTGCCTTTTTTTTCTACACCTGCCACCCCTTTTGTCCCATTACCTCTCCCTGGAGTTTGAATCTTTACTGTGTGATTTTGCATGAGTTTTACCTGTCTAGGCTGGGTGCCTCTGACCCAGCTGCCCAATCAGTCATTATTTATTTACAGTATTAGATTTCCATTTCTATTCATTTCACTGTAAGCCGCCTTTACCCTGGTGTGAAGAATAATGGGTCTTTGCTACTAATGCTGTATACTTGGAGGTGACTAGGAATGGCATGTTCAAGGGGCTGAGACTAATGCAAGCTCCAGGGAAGCGGGGTCTTCACTGGAGTCTTTTGAATAGGTCCTGGAGTACAGATGCAAGAGTTGGCCTGTCTTCCTTGATTTTCTGGTCTCCACTGGGTAAATTTGTTTCATTGCCAAGGGAAGTCTTGGGAGCAGGGAGCTATCAGAAATCTGAGTGTTAGACTGATTAAGAGCCTGCCCTGCAAAGGAGTGAGGAGAAAGAAGTAGTGGCTTTGTAGGTGTTGGAGAGTCCTCCCTGTAACCAGGTAAGTAGAAGGAAGTGAAGGATCCCTAGATTCCCAATTGAGAAATGGGAAAGGGGCTGGGTTTCAAAAGGGAAGTGATACAGCTTATAGCAGGTTTGGGAACATACCTGAGGTTGGATGGGCCCTTCTCCCTCTTTCTTCTGGAGAGTGTTTCTGGCTCCTCAGTCAAGCACAGCTGTGCTAACAGTTTCAGACCTGTTTACCGTCCTCCTTGGCGCTCTAGGGGAGGCCCAGCATTCGTGTTCCTCTCTCAAAGCTGTCCTTACACGTATTAGAGGAAAACAAGCTGTTTAGTTTGTGAGAAACTTTTTAGACTTCAGTGTCTCTCCTCACCCTTTCCAAATTAATCCCGCATCTTACAGATTAAAGATTCATTTAGGCTTCATTATCTCAAACTGGGATACTCAGTTTAAGAAGAGTAAGCTGAACAGTCTACACAAAGATATGAAAAGCTAGCTTTTCTGTTGAGGAAGATAATTAGTTGGGTGAGAGTTGTGGGCATTTGGACAAAGGGCAAAACTGGGGGTGGAGTTGTGCTGGACAGCTTGTGCCCTCGTCCTTGAGAGAGGAAAGGGTACCACCAAACTAGTGCAGTCACCTTGTTGTGCTTTTTCTTCTTCCATTTGCCTTGTGAGAAGAAGAAGATAGCAGTATGGAGGTGGAGTCACCATCTGTTCTCAAGGATGGGAAACAGACTTTAACTGAACATCAGGGATGAGCTGTATTCACCTGGCATTGATTGGTATCAGGCGCTGGATGGATTACACCAGAGACTACATTACAGCAGGAGAGAAAGGCTAATTTTGTAAGAAAGTCTAAGGTATTTTCAGAGTGACTCTGGTGGTATTTTTTTCTTGAGGATGAAAGGTTGCACACAAAGAAATGGAGGCCTACTGCTCTGAGGCTTGTTATTCCTGGTGAGACAGTTAGATGTGCTGCAAGCAGATCCCAGATTTGATCAGGCAGGATAAGGCAGGAATAGCAAAAGGTGTTCCTTTGTTCAGAACAGTGGTCTGTTCAAGGAGAAGGCAATCCTGTGGATAGATAAGAAGGAGCTTCTGAACCAGTGCAAAAGGCCAAAGCTTTTGAAAACAGCTAATGAGGAAGACACACGGAAGGCTGTTCAGAGCTTGGGCCAACACTGGAGGAACGGAGTCCAGGACAGCGGGACCAATATCATGGGTGGAGTTTGACTAGGTGGACAAAGGCTTGTCTAAAGCAGTGTCTCAAACATTTTTCAGACTACAACAGTACAAAATTCATTTTTACACTGAGACCCAGGATGTAGCAAGAATATGTGTATGTGAAACTAGTTTCTATTCTATTTGTTTCTAGTCTGTGTTCTTAAAAACTCATAACGTGTTAGTGGATCACAGTTCACTGTTTGGAAACCACTTGTCCAATGGGTGGAAAAACAGGTTGCAGTGGAGCAGGCTGGGTGGGGGATTGGATACTGGAGGAGGTGTGGGAGGCATAGAATTGATTGAGCACTACCTGGACACCTGTCGGTGGGACAGAGGGGAACATGGAGACTCATTTTGTTTCTGACAGGTGCAGAACTCACACAGTTGAAATGATGGGACAGATGCAGAAGAGGGGACTTTCCACCAGTTATATGCACTTCAAAGCAAAATGATTGGTTTTAAGGAAGAGGAAATGTACAAGGAGTAAACTTGGATATGTAAGCAGATTTCTTAAGAGCAGTAAGATCTTTCTCTGTAGGTTTAATGAGGAGACAAATGGAGCCAGACCAATTTGGCTGATGAATTTAGGTCATGTCCGCTTTCATGGCTGGATGAGGAGCAGAGGGGCTCATAGTGCAGGAGGCAGTGAGGAGACCCACACCTCTTCTTACAGCTTTGAGAAGTTTGAGTAGAGAGCAGCAGATGGAATGTGTTTTGAAATCCCATTTGCTGATCAAACTCATTAGTAAGTTGGCTGCTGCTTGCTTCTCAGAGAATTTGCAAAGTATTTTTTCTTTCTTTTTTTTTTTTTTTTTTGAGACAGGGTCTCACTCAGTTGCCCAGGCTGGAGTGCAGTGGCACAATCTTGGCTCACTGCAACTTCTGCCTCCTGGCTTCAAGCGATTCTCCTGCTTCAGCCTCCCAAGTAGCTGGGATTACAGGCACCTGCGGCCCCCCCTCCATCCCCTGGCTAATTTTTGTATTTTTAGTAGGGACAGTTTCACCATGTTGGCCAGGCTGGTCTTGAACTCCTGTGGTCTGCCCGACTCAGCCTCCCAGTGTTGGGATTACAGTTGTGAGCCACTGCATCCAGCCTGAAAAATATTCTTATTACATTTTATAAAAGGGTTAGACTTTCAGGACATCCTTAGAAGTGTGTTTCAAGATCTGTGATCAAATTCCAATCATCATTCATAGCCTTTGGGGTCACCTAAACAGCTTCTTGGAGAAAGTGGTGAGGCAACCAGCAATTGTGAGTTAATTCCAGTATTTGCCCAGGAGTTAATCAAGGGCAGAGTCTACCTGCGTGCTTTTGATTTCCTTTTTATAATTATCAACATCTGGCTACAACACCTAACATTCCTAGCAGCAAGTAAAACAAAGCCTGGAGGAAAAGTACACAGGTGGGTGGGCGAGTTGGCTCACGTCTATACCAGCACTTTGGGGGGCTGAGGCAGGCATGTCACCTGAGGTCAGGAGTTTGAGACCAGCTTGGCCCACCCACATGGTAAAATCCTGTCTCTACTGAAAAAAATACAAAAATTAGCTGGAAGTGGTGGCATGTGCCTATAGTCCCGGCTATTTGGGAGGCTAAGGCCAGAGAATTGCTTGAATCTGGGGAGCAGAGGTTGTAGTGAGCCGAGATCGCATCATTGCATGGGCAATAGAGTATCTGTCTAAAAAAAAACAACAAACAAAAAAAGTGTACAGGTATCAGAGTTGCTTAATGACTGCTTGCCTTTATCATTGATATTCTGACCTAGTTGGAGCCTCCCCTTGACCCTGCCTTGTCGGATTTTCTTATCTTAGTTGATGTTTTCAGTGTTTGACTTCACCCTTCTTCACCTTGGTGTTTATTTAATGCTTTCAACTCTGGTTTCTCTTTATCTCTGACAAGCCCCATTCTCCCCTGAGTCCTCCCACACCCTCGTCCCCCACCAGTTGTTTTGTGGTGTCCACCTGAGTCCATGGAGCTCAATTCTGGGTCCTGGCTTGTGCCATGTTACTGTTCATTGAATTCTGCCGTGGCAAATGGTATGCCACTGAGGAGTTTATACATTTATTTTAATTTAACTTTAAAATTTTGGGGACATGGAGAAACTTTCTTGGTCAAATTAATTAGTTTTCTCAAAATAGGCTTAAAATAGGCTTAAAAAGTCTTTGAAAATTAAACTCCCTATTTGGTGTATATGTATTTAGTGGAATGGGAGGAAGAAGGAATTTTCATTTGATGAAAAAATTTGGACAAATTTAAAAGTTCTCTTTACAAAGTGTTTAGGGACATGATTCTTTAAAAAAAAAAAAAAAAAAAAGAGCCAGGTGCAGTGGTGCATGCCTGTAGTTCCAGCTACTCGGGAGGCTGAGGTTGAAGGATCGCTTGAGCCCAGGAGTTCTGGGCTGTAGTGCACTATGCTGATCAGATGTCCGCACTAAATTCGGCATTAATATGGTGACCTCCCAGGAGCGGGGGACCACCAGGTTGCCTAAGTGGGGGTGAACTGGCCCAGGTTGGAAAGGGAGCAGGTCAAAACTCCCATGCTGATCAATAGTGGGATTGTGCCTGTGAATGGCCACTGCACTCCAGCCTGGGCAACAGAGCGAGACCCTGTCTCTAAAAAAAAAAAAAAAAAAAAAAGAAATAGGGTCTTAGTATGTTGCCCTGGGCTGGTCTTGAATTCCTGGGCTCAAGTGATCCTCCTGCCTTAGCCTCCCAAAATGCTGGGATTACAGGCCTGAGCCACTGTGTCTAGCCTGGGACATGATTCTTAAAACTAGTCTTGCTCAATTAACATGTTTTCCTCCATTACATGTAAAAATATTGAGACAGTTATGAATTTAAATGCTTTATAATTTGTTACATGTAAGGACTTATTAAGACTACAACTTTGTTTAGAATGAGGTTTCCTTCCCTTTTCATATTTTTATTTTTATATTTTTGAGATGGAGTTTCATTCTTGTTGCCCAGGCTGGAGTGCAGTGGCGTGATCTCAGCTCACTGCAACCTCCACCTCCCTGGTTCAAGTGATTCTCCTGCCTCAGCCTCCCTCGCAGCTGGGGTTACAGGCATATACCATGATGCCCAGCTCATTTTGTATTTTTAGTAGAGTCGGGGTTTCTCCATGTTGGTCAGGCTGGTCTCGAACTCCTGAATTCAGGTGATCTGCCCACTTCCCAAAGTGCTGGATTATGGTTGTGAGCCACCACACCTGGCCCTTTTCATATTTTTAAAACCTGCGTGAGTGATCCCAAACATCAATTTCTTACATAGCGTATGGAAAAGGGAAGGAATCCAGGGCAAGATAAGGATGAAAGGGTGAGGCCAAGAGGAAGGCTTGATCACCTGGAGCCAGAAGAAACAACCAAACCTCAAGACATTTGGCATTTTGAAGATTTGAGAACACTTTATAGCCACAAGTCTCTAAATGTTTTCTGTAGTGTTTTTTTTTTTAATTGCAAAGGTAAGACTAGCTCATTATTTAAAAAATTATAAACAGTCAATATTTAAGAGAATGAAAATTCATCTCTGCCTCCTCCTCCAGCTCCCACCCTGGCTGGTTTCACTCCTAAACACGTGTAGTTATCAGTTTTGGGGGTTAGGGCCTCCAGACTTTTTCTCTACAAATGGCAAAATGTGTCCAGAGTTATTTAGTTTTGAAAAAATTATTATTTTGCAGCTTGCTTCTTTATCACCTTTTTCATTTAAATATCAATAATGTGATAGTATATGTATAGTTAACCATATTTCTATTGGTGGGCCTTGAGATTATTTCTAATGATGCTTTAATAAACACTCTTGTAAGTATGGTACATCTTTTCAAACTTGTGTGAAATTTTGAGGGTAAAAGATGCCAATTCGTTAGTATACTGCTTATTTTATAATTCAAGTAACACAGTGTTATCAACATTTACATATTCTGCTATTTGATCCCCCAAATAGTCACTCAGCAGTGAAAATGCAGCAGTGGATGTTATAGGGATTTCAAGGTTGGGCAATGCATCCTTCTTGCTTACCAGAGGTCACTGTCTGATAGGGCGATTAGGCATGCGCATTGACTACAATAGCTTTGGTTTTATTTATATTCCCCTTTGTTTCTTTTTCTTTTTTTTTTTTTAGATGTGGTTTCACAGTGTTGGTCAGGCTGGTCTTGAACTCCTGTCCTCAGGTGATCCACCCGCCCTGGCCTCCAAAGTGCTTGGATTACAGGCATATTCCCCTTTGTTTCAAACAGGATTTGGAATTGTTTACAAAGATGCATAGGATGACAAGATAAAGTGTATTTGGTATAAAGAAGAAAAAGCAGATGGAAGTGTAAGTGAGGTTGGTCAGTGTATTTTGAAGTCCTGATTTCTCCTTGCTAAAAGTTCTGGCTATAAGCTTTCCAGCAGCAAAAAGAAGAGGCAAATGATCCATAACAAGTTTCAGGTATTCAAAAGAGAAACCACATCAGAGAAGCCCACCTATTCCTGATTCCAGGAGGTGAGAAAAAAATTCTCTTTTGGGTTTTCATTAAGAAAACACTGCATTTGCAATGGCCAGCATCTAAACAATCTTCCCAGTATCTTACAATAAAACCCAGTGATTTTGCTATTCGATGCCACCTCATATCAGGTTGCTCAGTGCTAGCCAGGGGTATCATGCTTGGGCACTGCTCAGTGAAAGGTCAGTAGGGTGAGGTGTAGGTTCATGGGTTTAATCCAGAAATAGCTGTAAGACCTAAAGGGACACATGGCCAATGAAAAACAGCAATGTGATCTTGTTTCTGGATATTTTTTCCGCAAAGTAGTACAGAATATACAAGTTTAGTGGAATTGCTATAGGTAAAACCTACAGAATACTAGGCCTGTAACTTTTGAAATCAGAAATGAGGATGTTTTAGATGGTGTTAACTTAATAGAATTATGATAATGGCTGGGCAAAATATTTTCCTAAAAAAAAAAAACAACCCAAAAAAACCGAAAACACCACCCTATACTTGTTCCACACAAGGATGGTACTTGTTCACATTGATCAATCCCATTAAGTTAGAAAGAATCAGAGCCATCATGCTAAGAAGTCTTGAGAAGTTAAGGTTGCTTTTTTTTTTTTTTACCCGGGCTGGAGTGCAGTGGTGCGATCTTGGCTCACTGCAACCTCTGTGCCTCCCAGGTTCAAGTGATTCTCCTGCCTCAGCCTCCCTAGTAGCTGGGACTACAGGCACGTACCACCATGCCCGGCTAATTTTTGGATTTTTAGCAGAGGCAGGGTTTCACCATAATGGTCAGGCTGGTCTCGAACTTCTGACCTTGTGATCTGCCCGCCTTGGCCTCCCAAAGCGTTGGGATTACAGGTGTGAGCCACCACACCTGGCCTAAACTTGTTAATAGATTGTACAATATGAGAATGTCACCAGGGCTTAGAGGTCTCCAAGTTGGGCCAGCTTGACTGTTTCATAAAGCCAGTGAAAGTTCATTTCCCATGAGTCATCTGGCTCTGAACTTCCATGACCGCATTCACCAA